ATATATATATATATATATATATATATAACTAATATCTTGTGCTTTCCTTTGAGATATTTGCCTACTTCAGTGCTTTGCCCAGGGCAAAATTGTTTTATGTTCCACCTCCCTCCACACCCAAATAAAGAAGATTTAAATGAGTACAGAGGGGCGTTTCAAAGGGAAAACTTGTCTCAAGAGGGCAGTCTATAGTTCCACTCATTGATTTGGTATTAGTATGTAAATAATATTCCAATGTTTCCGTAAGTTTTCCTTGATAAATATTAGCTCAAGGTTGTAGCACATATACTTATGTTGTAGCTTTTATCCAGAGTAAGAAATGCAGCTCTTGCTGGAATTGAGTAGGAGCCCAGTTAATACAAGCTTTAGAAAACTGGAGAATAGGAAGTGGGTAAGGGAGAAAATGAGAAAGAAATCAACTCTTAGTTGAAGAAACATGGTAACTCCTATTTTTTCTTCAAATTGTACTGTTGCTTAATTTTTTTATATCAAGGATCATTATTACCTATAGTTTCATTATTGGTGAAATTGCATTTGAATGCTCATTAATGTATTGACTTTGTTCTGATTGCTCTGTTTTTCTGTATATCTAGGCAGATATTTTAAATTTCAGAAATTGTGCTATAAATTTTTTTTTCGGTTTCTGAGCCATGGTTTTATTTAATAAAAGGTTTATATAAGATTTCCTTATAGAGAGGAAAAATATAATGTAATTATATTTGATGAGAGGCTTAGGTTAGATTCATTCTTTCAGTCAGCAGGCATTTACTGTGCATCTATCCTGTGCCAAGCCTTTTAAATTCTGGTAAAATATGTTCTCTTTCTGCCTTCATGGAGCCTGTAGTCCTATGATAAGGTTTAGAAGGATTAGAAGGGACATAACACTACTTTACTTCTGTAAAATTAGAAAAACAAGTTTTCATATCTTGATGAGAGATACCAGTTCCTCTGCTTGTTCTTCCAAACCATTTTAAAACTATTTCTGGTTAGATTTGAAAAGCTGAGGTGGGCTTAGAGATATGGCTAAACCTCAGGGTAGGACTGGAATGTGCTGTCCCAGGTTTGATCTATTAAGCTGTAAGAGAGCAGTTTAAGATTTATATTAAAATTTTGGAGCTCCATTAGTTTTTCACTGATACTTATTTTAGACAATCTGACCTTCTTGTTTTTTTGGTGTTTATACCAAATATTCCTTTCTGTATTGCCTCTTTTTGCAGCCCTATACTATAAATGAAGAAAAAAAAAACAAGTGTGTGTTAGAATTTGAAGTGGCAGCATGTTTGTTAGTTTTAATGTTTAATTAACTATACATGTGGTAGGAGTTATAAAATATGTTAGAAAATAGTGATGAGTGTGAGTTTAAATTTTGATTTGTCTTTTTTATTAGAAAATTAATGGGCAGAAAAATAACACTACTTTTATATTTATATAGTTCCTATTACCTGCATGTTCATTTCATGTTCAATAATGCTTTTTAGTCATTAATAAATATTTGAAATTATCCAAACAGACCATTATAAACCTGCAATTTCCCATCGAGATTTAAACAGCAGAAATGTTCTAGTGAAAAATGATGGAACCTGTGTTATTAGTGACTTTGGATTGTCCATGAGGCTAACTGGAAATAGACTAGTGCGCCCAGGGGAAGAAGATAATGCAGCCATAAGTGAGGTAAGCGTATACAAAAGGTATCACACTGATGTACCTTGAAATAATAATGAATTTAATTAAAACATCTACCGGCTAGGCATGGTGGCTCACGCCTGTAATTCCAGCACTTTGGGAGGCCCAGGTGGGTGGATCACCTGAGATCAGGAGTTCAAGACTAGCCTGACCAACATGGTAAAACCCCATCTCTACCAAAAATACAAAACTTAGCTGGGTGCAGTGGCACACACCTGTAATCCCAGCTACTTGGGAGACTGAGGCAGGAGAATTGCTTGAACCTGGGAGGTGAAGGTTGCAGTGAGCTGAGATCATGCCGCTGCACTCCAGCCTGGTGACAGAGTGAGACTCAGGACAATCATTCTCATATACTGCCAATTATAGAATACTAGGAATCACAAAATTAAGAAATATAAAATACATCACCTAAAGGCCTTTGTAAAGTTCATCAGTTTATTTTGGAACTCACTGCCATTCCAAGTCATTTTTACAAGCATTAGGAACAAATTTGTAGGAAGTGATTTTTGAAGCAGTAGTAAAGTTACCAAGTTAAAGATAAGATAGTCCATTTTTGATAATCACCATTACAATGTGGAATATATCCTTCCCACTTTTGTTCTCTGTATTCATATATACGTGTCTGTGTACAACATATATGTATTTTTGTGATTTTTTTTGAGATGGAGTTTAGCTCTTGTTGCCCAGGCTGGAGTGCAGTGGCACGATTTTGGCTCACCACAACCTCTGCCTCCCTGGTTCAGGCAATTCTCCTGCCGCAGTCTCCCGAGTAGCTAGGATTACAGGCTTGTGCCACCACGCCCAGCTGATTTTTGTATTTTTAGTAGAGATGGGGTTTCACCATGTTAGTCAGGCTGGCGTTGAACTCCTGGCCTCAGGTGATCCACCCTACCCAGCCTCCCAAAGTGCTGGGATTACAGGTGTGAGTCACTGCGCCCAGCTGTATTTTTGTGAATTTTTTAAAAATTAGGTGGCATACGTATTGTTTTGTAATTTTCTCAGTGTATCTTAACAGATTATTTGTGTTGATATACATAGGAAAATCTAGCTCATTCTTTTTGAATAATGAATAATATTCACTAAAATTGATTTACCACAGTTTAATTATTCAGGAAGGGCATTTTGTAGGTAAAAAATAAGTTATAGAAAGGTTTGGTGATGTGGTTAGGGTCAAATAACATTGACATGACTAAGATTTACATGTAACTTCTGTTCTAATGTCTGTTCTTCAGAATATGGTACATTCTCTCTCTAAAAAAATATCACTCTAATTTATCAGGTTGGCACTATCAGATATATGGCACCAGAAGTGCTAGAAGGAGCTGTGAACTTGAGGGACTGTGAATCAGCTTTGAAACAAGTAGACATGTATGCTCTTGGACTAATCTATTGGGAGATATTTATGAGATGTACAGACCTCTTCCCAGGTAAAAACTACTGTCAAAAGTTCATATGTTTTGAAGTGAAACAGTTATATCTCCTTTCTCTACCTGTAGTACATAACTCAACTTTTATGTAAGAATTTTTTACTTTTATTTAAACCTCTAGTTCATTGACATCTAGTGTTTAGAAACATTATTAGCAGAAGGATGCAAATCAGGACATTTTTTTTAGAGTGTTCCATGTTTTCATCTGAGTGCAGTTTAATTGATTGCCAGTAATAGCTTATTGAACTCTATTTCGTTTGGTCTCTGATTGCCTTAGCATTCAACATTTTTCTTATGCACCATCTGAGTGTTGGAGACAAGCTATATTTAGGATGTTTACTGAGTTGACCCTGTAAGGAATTAGAAGCAATGAATTATTTGTAAATACTTTTTCTTTTTCCTTTTTTTTATGATCCCTTTCTCCTTCCTTCTCCCTCCCCTCCCCTCTTCTTCCTTTCAATGAAAGAATACTCATGGGCTGGGCATGGTGGCTCCTACGTGTAATCCCGGCACTTTGGGAAGCTGAGGCTGGCGAATCACCTGAGTTCAGGAGCTTGATTCCAGCCTGACTAATATGATGAAACCCTGTCTTTACTAAAGATTAAAAAAAAAATTAGCCAGGCATGGTGGCATGCCATCTGTAATCCCAGCTACTTGGGAGGCTGAGACAGGAGAATCACTGGAACCCAGAAGGCGGAGGTTGCAGTGAGCCAAGATGGTGCCATTGTACTCCAGCCTCAGCAACAAGAGTGAAACTCTGTCTCCAAAAAGAAAACGCTGGGTGCGGTGGTGTCTCCTGCCTGTAATTCCCGTACTTTGGAAGGCCATGGCAGGCAGATCATGAAGTCAGGAGTTTGAAACCAACCTGGCCAATATGATGAAACCCTGTCTGTATCTGTACTAATAATACAAAAATTAACTGGGTGTGATGGTCCCAGCTACTCGGGAGGCTGAGGCAAAAGAATCACTTGAACCCGGGAGGCGGAGGTTGCAGTGAGCCGACATTGCCTCACTGTACTCCAGCCAGGGCAACAGAGCAAGACTCTGTCTCGAAAAAAAAAAAAGAATACCCATTTAATTGAATGTTTGTTTGAGGCTTACCTGAAATAGCCAAATGAATTTGTAGTTTTTCTCCCCTTCTTAGGGATTGTATCATTATATTATCATCTAAAAACTTTATAAATCTGGTGTCGCATTCTTCTAGAGGCTGTACAGATGATTTGATCTGTGTGGCCTCTGTCTTTTAGGAATAACACCACTAAAAGCATAGAAAAAGGAACCAGCATTGGACAAATTTATGAAATGGAGCTATTTAAAAAGATTAATAGTACTATAAAGTAATGTTTAATGCTTAATGTCTTTAAAGCAAAACAATTCAACTCCATTATTAATGTTTTTAAATTAAATACATATACAGATACATATCTCTGTGTGTGTGTGTGTGTGTGTGTGTGTGTGTGTGTGTGTACTTTTAATTTTTTTTTAAGAGACAGAGCCTCACTCTGTCACCTAGGCTTGAGTGCAGTGGTGTGATCACAGCTCACTGCAGCCTTGACGTCCCCAGGCTTAGGTGATACTCCTTCCCCAGCCTCCCAAGTAGCTGGGACTACAGGCATGTGCCACCAAGCATGGTTAATTTTTGTATTTTTTGTAGAGACAAGGTTTCACCACTTTGCTTAGGTTGGTCTCAAACTCCTGGGCTCAAGTGATTCGTCCACTTCAGCCTCCAAAAGTGCTGGGATTATAGGAGTGAGCCACCGCACCAGGCCAAACATTAGTTTGTAATTCAAAAATATAATGAAATAAATCAGTGATTATTTAGATTAACAGGTCAATCAGTTATTATTTAGAAGTGTATTTTCAGCCGGGCACAGTGGCTCACGCCTGTAATCCCAGCACTTTGGGAGGCCAAGGCGGGCGGATCATGAGGTCAAGAGATCGAGACCATTCTGGCCAACGTGGTAAAACCCCATCTCTACTAAAAAATACAAAAATTAGCTGGACGTGGTGGCGCGCGCTTGTAGTCCCAGCTACTCGGGAGGCTGAGGCAGGAGAATTGCTTGAACCCATGAGGCGGAGATTGCAGTGAGTCGAGATTGCGCCACTGCACTCCAGCCTGGCGTCTGGTGACAAAGCAAAACTCTGTCTCAAAAAAAAAAGTGCATTTTCTAGTTAATTAAAAGTACAGAGATTCAATTGAGGCATTTTCCTGAAAACAGCAGTAATTGCGTTAGTATCACAAGTACTTGTTTTTTTTTTTTTTTTTTTTTTTTTTTTTTAAAGAGACAGAGTCTCACTCTTGCCCAGGCTGGAGTGCAGTGGTGCAGTCATAGCTCATGTTCCCCAGAAAGAAAAAAGAAGAAAGAATAAGTGTAATTTGAGAAGGGAGCTAAAAGAAAAAGTCTAACTGGTAGAGACTTAGTTAACAAGTGGCAAATAAAGTGAAAAGCAAGGAAGGTATCTGATAGCACCAGATATTACTGTAAGATATTTTGGGCAGTTCTGAAGAAAGGGAGATTATAAAATTTCCCTTGAGCAATCCAGTGATAGTAAGGAAATTCAGTAAGGTTTTAAGGAAATCCGGTAAGGTTAATATCTTCCATGATGAAGATGTTTGTCATTAACATTCACCTTTGTGTCTCCAATACCTAAAACTAAGTTAGTGGTAAACAAGTTTCTGTTGAACAATTAGATTTTCAGCTGTGAAGATTTAGTGGAAATTTATTTGGTAATTCTTAACCATTGCGTTCATAGAAGATTGTACTTCAGTTTCCTTTAGCAAGTTTAAAAATTATACTTTGGGTCTGATTTTTTAAAAGAGTAGTGAATTTTTGGTTATTCTACTAAACCAGCATTTGAAAAAACAATAAATAACACTTGGAAGATATGTGTATGTGTTGTGTGTGTGTCTCAGAGACAGATCAGATATATTAATAAATATCTTACAGTTCACAGATGGTATAGGATAAGGTTTTATCATACGGGGTTTCAAGGAAGAAAGTGATATACTAACTGGCACGATTAAATCCTTTATCTCTCAAGTTCAATGTTGATGTTATTGATCAACACTAAGTATCTGCTTAAATGTTTACAGTATGTGAAAATCACTTGTATTTATACATAAGGCAGTATATTACAATAAACTTGGGCAATGCTATGTAGATAACAGAATTAATCTTTGTAAATCTTTTTTAATATTGGTGGAGGGCAAGTATTTATGGATTGTTTTGAGTATTCAAATAGAAACTTAAATGAAACATAAACTTATTTATAATTTGATTTCCATCTGTGTCATTGTAACTTTGTATTATCTCCATGTGAATGATATAAGGAAGGTGGCAGACATTGCCATTTTGCCTACAGGAAGTGTAAAACACAAATTGTTTTTTTTTGTTTTTTTTTTTTTGTTTTTTTTTTTGAGATGGAGTTTCGCTCTTGTTACCCAGGCTGGAGTGCAATGGCGCGATCTCGGCTCACCGCAACCTCCGCCTCCTGGGTTCAGGCAATTCTCCTGCCTCAGCCTCCTGAGTAGCTGGGATTACAGGCACGCACCACCATGTCCAGCTGATTTTTTGTAGTTTTAGTAGAGACGGGGTTTCACCATGTTGGCCAGGATGGTCTCGATCTCTTGACCTCGTGATCCACGTGCCTCGGCCTCCCAAAGTGCTGGGATTAACAGGCGTGAGCCACCGCGCCCGGCCCAAACACAAATTGTTAAATGACTTTTCCAAGGTCGAGATGAAGCCAAGATTAGAACCTAAATGCCTTATCCTCCTCTGCTGGTGTTCTTCCTTGTAATTTATCCTGTCATTTTAATAGGGTGGGAGGAGGGGTAAAGAGACAAGAAGAGTCTCTCGTTCTGTGTTCTTTGCCGTGATTTCTACTAGACCATGGGTTTTCTCATTGTTGGTTCCAGAGGTTTTCTATGTGGTTCAATATGTTATATATATAAACTTCATTTTATTATCATATTTTATAAAAATCGAAAGCCTGACATTACAGTTGATTGTGCTTATTGGCAATGAATAGGGTTATTAAACAGTGAACAAAATAGTTAATAATATTTAAGTCCATGATCCTAAATAGTACCTGTTAGTTAAAAGGAATTTTTAGGGCTGGGCATAGTGGCTCATGCCACCAGCAGGCAGAAGTATGAGACCAGCCGGGGTCACATAGCAAGACCTTATATTGATACAAAAATATATTTTTTAAATTAGCTGGGCATGGTCGCACCCTCCTATAGTCCTAGCTACTAGGGAGGCTACTTGATCACAGAAGTTCAAGTTACAGTGAGCTATGATCATGCCACTGCACTCTATCCTGGACTACAAAGTAAGACCCTCTTTCCTGCCTTCCTGCCTTCCCACCTGCCCGCCTGCCCGCCTGCCCACCTGCCTTCCTGCCTTCCTGCCTGCCTGCCTGCCTGCCTGCCTGCCTGTCTGTCTTCCTACCTGCCTGCCTGCCTGCCTGCCTGCCTGCCTTTTTTTGGATGAAGTCTTGCTCTGTTGCCTAGGCTAGAGTGCAGTAGCACGATTTCGGCTCACTGCAACCTCCACCTCCCGGGTTCAAGCAGTTCTCCTGCCTCAGCCTCCTGAGTAGCTGGGATTATAGGCATTTGCCACTACACCCAGCTAATTTTTGTATTTTTAGTAGAGACGGGGTTTCACCCTGTTGGTCAGGCTGGTTTCCAACTCTTAACCTTGTGATCTACCTGTGTTGGCCTCCCAAAGTGCTGTGATTATAGGCCACCACGCCCAGCCTCTTTAAAAAAAAATTGTTTAAAGTCTATTGATTTTTTTCTTTCAAATGACCATTATTATAAATATTTTTGTGACATTTGATACAGTCTGGCTGGACTATAATAGAACCAATGATGTATTCAACCCATCCATTTATATTTGATTCTATAGGCATATTTGTTGCACCAGGTCCTGGACTTTTTCCTCATCTTCACCACCCTCTATGGGATCAGTGTTCAGGCCTATTTCCAAGTATTATGTATGCCTTATAAACGTAACAGTCTTTTTTCCCTGAATTTAGTAATACCAGAAACCACTTAAAAATACGTATCCATCATTGAAACTACCATTTGATTTATCAACAAATATTTGAGACTATTCTAAGCAAAGCATTTATTAATAATGCATTAGGCTGGGCATGGTGGCTCATGCCTGTAATCCCAACACTTTGGGAAGCCAACGCTGGTGGATCACCTGAGGTCAGTTCGAGACCAGCCTGGCCAACATGGTGAAACCCCATCTCTACTAAAATACAAAAATTAGCCAGTGTGGTGGTGTACATTTGTAATCCCAGCTGCTTGGTAGGTTGAGGCAGGAGAATCACTTGAACCCAGGAGGTGGAAGTTGCAGTGAGCCAAGATCGTGCTACTGCACTCCAGCTTGGGCAACAGAGTAAGACTTTGTCTTTGGGAAAAAAAAAAAAAAAAAAAAAAATTGGCTGGGCACAGTGGCTCATGCCTGTAATCAATCCCAGCACTTTAGGAGGCTGAGGCAGGCAGATCACCTGAGGTTGGGAGCTGGAGACCAACCTGACCAACATGGAGGAACACATCTCCACTAAGAAAAAATAAAAAATTAGCTGGGCATGGTGGCGCATGCCTTTAATCCCACTACTCTGGAGGCTGAGGCAGGAGAATCGCTTGAACCCGGGAGTCGGAGATTGTGGTGAGCCAAGATCAAGCCACTGCACTCCAGTCTGGGAAAAAAGAATGAAACTGTCTCAAAAAAAAAAAAAAAGAAAAGAAAAAAAGAATTATTAAACCTACAACAAGGTCTCTTTAGGATCTCCAAATTTGCCTGAAGGGGTTAAAAAAAAAAAAAAAAGATTGTGACACAGTTTTTTTGCTCACTTAGTATCAGAAATACCCCTGCTATTCTATCATTTATGGTAACTGGAAATTTTATTCTGTCATTTTTTTCTACAAATACACAGGGGAATCCGTACCAGAGTACCAGATGGCTTTTCAGACAGAGGTTGGAAACCATCCCACTTTCGAGGATATGCAGGTTCTTGTGTCTAGAGAAAAACAGAGACCCAAGTTCCCAGAAGCCTGGAAAGAAAATAGCCTGGTAAGAAAAGACTAAGTTATTAAAGAGAAGACTTATGACTGAATATATTTTAATGTTGTTTGAGGCAAAAATAGATAATGTTAATTGTTTTTGGAGTTGCCTAATGCCAGAAATCCAACTTGATTTTTATGATGCTATACATTTTCAAATTTTTCAATATGAAAAAAGTCACAGTTTTTGGTTCCGTTTTGTTTTTCTCCAAGCATAAAATACTATTTAGAGAGAATAACTAATGTTTCTTAAGTTTGCCAGATTGAATAACAGCTGGATTAATTAACATATTAATATTTTAGTCATTATTGAAATTTCTTCTTAGTCTCTTGAGAATAATACCAAAAATGTTAAGTAGTACAGGCATACATAATCAGTGGCTAATGAAAATTTAGGCTAGACCTGAAGAAAACCAAGGTGTAGCCTATGAATTCTGCTTATTAAAAATATAATTCACAACAATGAAATATCTTCAGAGGCTCCTGCCATTTGAGTAAGTTGTTGTTACATCACTGAAAACATCTTACAAATTCACATATATACACTCATATAATTTTTAAACATAAATAGGATCATCTAATTATCCACTATCACTTCTGAAGCTTATTTCTTAAAGACTTTTTTTAATGTCAGTACCTCTAGATGTATATGTTTCTCTCCATTTGGTCAGTATTCTATTGATAAAATCATATAATCATCCTATTGAATGATATATCATAATTATTATATTAAAAGGGGAAAAACTACCTCTTTCTACTATCACTCTCCATAAGTAACTCCCTTTAGTAATCTTTTTTTTTCTCTTCCAAAGATTACCATTATAACTTCAAATACTCTATTCTTAAGTTATCTCTCATTTACTGTCTCCCAGTTTGTAATATTCTATTATTAAATGATATATGTTTTGTCTGTAAATTCATCTAATATTTAAACAAAATAATGAGAAATTTGTAGAATTATGATTATAAAAGCACTCACTGCACAACAAAGTATTGTGCTTGGATTTATAAGGAATAAAAATTCTATATTAGTTACTAAAATCTCCCCTGCTGCTTTGGGGAGAGTGTTTCAAGTTATCATCCATCACTTGAGCCCAGGAGTTTGAGGCTGCAGTGAGCTATGATCACACCACTGCCCTCCAGCCTGAGCAAGACCCTGTCTCCTTAAAAAAAATATAATCAAGTCCCAGCTGTTCAGGAGGCTAAGGCAGAATTGCTTGAATCCAGGAGGTAGAGGTTGCAGTGAGCTGAGATCACCCCACTGCACTCCAGCCTGGGTGGCAGAACGAGACCGCATCTAAAAAAAAAAGGCGCATTGGCTTGTCGTGCCTGTAATCCCAACACTTTGGGAGGCTGAGGTGGGTGGATCATGAGGTCAGGAGTTCAAGACTAGCCTGACCAACATGATGAAACCCGTCTCTACTAAAAATATAAAAATTAGCAAGGCATGGTGGTAGGCGCCTGTAATCCCAGCTACTCAGGAGACTGAGGCAGGAGAATCGTTTGAACCTGAATGTGGAGGTTGCAGTGTGCTCAGATTGCGCCACTGCACTCCAGCCTAGGCAACAGAGCGAGATTATGTCTCAAAAAAAAAAAAAAAAATTGCCTGCATGCGGTGGCTCACACCTGTAATTCCAGCACTTTGGAAGGCTGAGGTGGGCGGATCACGAGGTCAAGAGATTGAGACCATCCTGGCCAACATGGTGAAACCCCGTCTCTACTAAAAAAATACGAAAATTAGCTGGTCATGGTGGCATGCACCTGTAGTCCCAGCTACTCAGGAGGCTGAAGCAGGAGAATTGCTTGAACCCGGGAGGCAGAGGTTGCAGTGAGCCAAGATCGTGCCACTGCACTTCAGCCTGGTGCCTGGCGACAGGAGGAGACTCTGTCTCAAAAAAGAAAAAGTCGTCATCAAATGATTTCTTTTTTATTTCTTGTCATCTTTCTTTTTCTGTTTTTAGGTTCTACTCAGGAGCAACATTAAAAATCTCATGTCATTCTCTTTCCTTAAATGATTATTTCTTTGATGAAGTTCCTCCTTAAGTAATATGTATTAGTATGTGTATGGTGGTAAACATTATGAATCCTTGCATGTTTAAAAATGTTTTTATCTTGCCCTCACACTCATGTAATAATTTGGCTGGATAATAGTTTCAGTATCAAAATTGTTTTGCTCACAACTTTGAAACTACTACTCCATCATTCTCTAGCATACAATCTCCGTGTGCTCTAGGCTCTAGTCTCCAGTCTATTGAGAATTTCAGTGCCGTCCTGAGTCATTCCATTGCATTTTTTTGTTATATTTTTGTTTTATCCTCTTAATTTTTTTTCTCTATAAGCTTTTAAGACTTTATCACGAGAATTGTGAAATTTCACCTTGATGTATGTAGGCATGGATCTTTTCACACATTTTGGCTTGGGACTGGATAGGTTTTCAGTTTGAAAATTCAGAGGAATTTTATTATTTCTCTCTCTCTCTTTTGTTTTTTTGAGACAGAATTGCTCTATTGCTCTGGCTAGAGTATAGTGGTGTGATCATGGCTCACTGCAGCCTTGAACTCCTTGGCTTAAGCTATTCTTCTTTAGCCTCCTGAGTAGCTGAGACTTCATATGAATACCACTGTGCCTGGCTTTCTTTATTTTTTGTAGAGACAGGGTCTTGCTGTGTTTCCTAGGCTGGTCTCAAACTCCTGAATTCAAGCAAGTCCTCCTACCTCATCTTCTCAAAGTGCTAAGATTACAGGCATGAGCCATCATGCCTGGCCTCGTATTATTTTTTAAATTATTTCTTAAACTTTCAATTCCTCCTTCTGGAATTCCCAGTAGACAAATATCGTACCACCTGACATTCTAGGAATCAATTTTTTCTTGTGTTTTCCACTTTTTCCCCCCCTCTGTTTTCCTTTTCTTTCCTTTTTTTGGAGACATTTTCTTGCCCTGTTGCCCAGGCCGGAGTGCAGTGGCAGGATCTCAGCTCACTGCAAGCCTCAGCCTCTCAAGTAGTTTGTATTTTTAGTAGAGATGGGGTTTCACCACGTTGACCGGGCCGGTCTTAAACTCCTGATCTCAAGTGATCCACCCAACCCAGCCTCCCAAAGTACTGGGATTACAGGCATGAGCCAGCACACCTGGCCTCCCCTACTACATTTTTCAAAATTTACCCAGCTTTACCTTCAAATGACTCATTTAGTTTTTACTTTTCTTATATCAGTTATCTATTAATTAAAGTTTTAGCTTCTACAGTCATGTTTATATTTCCAGAAACTCTTGTTTGCCTTTTCCATAGCAATCTGTTCTTATTTTCAATATGTAATAAAAGTGATTCATTCTGTAGGTGTTATTATTAACAAATTAATTTTCTTGGCTATAAAGAACAAAAAGTGAAAAAATAAGCAACTTAAATGTTTTTACTATATATTTTCACATTTCAATTTTAGATTGTCTTAGTAGAACTAGAATAGTATTTCCATTTTGGATCCTGACTTAAGTGGAGTGATGTCATGTCAGAGAAAGGCTAGAGAGACATTACATGTTTCCCTACAGATTTAGAATGAGCACTGTCTTCATTGGTTATATTTGTCAGTAGGTTACTTTCAAGTTCGGCTTCTGTTTGAGTCAGATTGAAATCTTCTTTGAGTATGTGGCAATTGAAGAGCATGTTGTCAAGCACATATGTCCAAAATTGCTTCCAAACTACAGTCCCTGCTGTGGGAACTGAGACAGATCTTTAAGAGGTCTCTGACAGCAGGTGAGAGGCTGAATACTAGAATTCATCAGAGGTGCCAGTCTCACAATAGAGTATTCCTAAAAGAAAATCTGTTTGCAAAATTTTATTCTGGTAAAATACAACCTCATCTTCCTTAAATTGTTTTATTTCACCAGTAAAAATGGGAACTATTATTTTGAAATACCTCTTGGCAACCCTATTGTTATGGGATATGCATCATATGCATATTTACCTGAAAACTTTTTACTTCCAGTATGGAGTAGGTTGCCAAGTAAGGGATTCATAATACTTGGTTCACTTCCAGTGAATCCATTTAATTCTAATGTGCTACAGTCAGTAAACTGCTTCTCTGAAGTGACAGTCCAATGCTAGAGTTAGGTAGCAAGTACATAGTTTATAAAAAGAGAGAAATGCAGCTATGTTTAAAGAAGGCATTATTGCTTTCATAGTTGCATTGAGATTAAGAAACATTCTTTTAGTAGTAAAACTCAAAATCTTTCAAATATTAATGAATATAAAAACTAGTTTTATTTTATAAACTGCCAGGGACTCAAACATAGATTAGTCAATAAAGAGGGGAAGAATAGTTTCCTAATAAAAATGAAAGCGTAGAAAATAGTCTAAAGGAATACATGAAAATGTTAAACCCTAGTTATCTCTGAATATTGGGTTCATAAATGACTTTTTTTTTATTTGTTTTTTTCCCTTTTTTCTTCATTTCATAAATGACTTTTTATTCCTATATGTTTCAGAATTTACAGTAAAAATGAACTGCTTTAACAATCACATACACACAGTTGTTTGTTTGTTCTTTTGAGACAGAGTCTCCCTCTCTCACCCAGGCTGGAGTGCAGTGACGCAATCTCAGCTCACTGCAACCTTTGCCTGCCAGGTTCAAGCGATTCTTCTGCCTCACCCCTCCGAGTAGCTGGAACTACAAGTGCGAGTAACCACGCTCGGCTAATTTTTGTATTTTTAATAGAGATGGAGTTTCACTATGTTGTCTAGACTGATCTCGAACTCCTGAATTCGTGATCCTGCCGCCTTGGCCTCCCAAAGTGCTCCAGTTACGGGCGTGAGCCACCGCACCTGGCCAGTTTTGGTTTTTTGTTTGTGTTTTGTAGAGACAGAGTCTCACTATGTTGCCAAGACTGGTCTTAAATTCCTGGCCATAAGCAATCCTTCTAGCTTGGCCTCCCAGAGTGCCAGGATTGTAGTCATGAGCCAACATGCCTGGCCCCCACATACAGTTTAAGGCTTTTGTTTTATATTAAAATATTTTA